CTTCTTCTTCTTCTTCTTCTTCTTCTTCTTCTTCTTCTTCTTCAGACTAGAGACTTATACTAGTTGGACAGAGATCAGAGTTGGACTTCGGTGATATGAGACTGTGGTACTTACCGGATTGGAGACTTGGAGATCGTTGGGGTTGATACTTGGCGACATCACAGTTCGGACACCGATTACATTTAGACTCTGTATCTCCGACATTGGTGACCTATGGTCCTCGACATTTTGATCTGGTTGGATGACATTTTGGACTACCATATCGGTGACCTATCAGACTCTATCTCGGTGGCTTTCAGTGCTGTCTACCTGCCCCACCTCCTTCGTCTCTCCTCCCCCATTCATCTGTGTATGTTGTGTACGGGGCTGAGCATCTTCTCTGTATGGCTCACACCCCACCATCTCACGATTGTATATGTGTGGAGTGATGCTATGTGAGTCAGTCTAAGTGAGTCAGTCTATGTGAGTCAGTTCGTTTCTCAGACTTCCGCTGCATACATGCTCATCCTATATTGGTTGATCTTTGGTTCTGCCCATACTCATCGAAGTATGCAACAGGCGCCCAGCGCTGAAGACTACTGCTAACGCTACAAAGTGCCCAGCGCTGAAGACTACTGCCAGCACTCCTCCAGAGTGCTGCTGCCGAATCCTGAAGACTACCTGCTGCCTGTAGGGCGGGCCAGTCTTATATAGTGCTGGCCCGTCCAGGAGGCTGCTCTTGCCAATGCCCAAACGTTAGGCCCTGAGGAAGCTTCTGGAAAGTTTCCAGGTAGCTTCTGGCTAAAGCCTGAGGAAGCTTCCGGGGAGTTTCCAGGTAGCTTCTGGCTAAAGCCTGAGGACCTATAGGCCCTTGTTTTCAGGCTGTCAGGCTGAAACGACACGGGGCCTGTAGGCCCTGGTTTTTAGGCTGTCCGGCTGAAACAGACACGGGGCCTGTAGGCCCTGGTTTTCAGGCTGTCAGGCTGAAACAGACACAGGGTCTGTAGGCCCTGGTTTTCAGGCTGTCAGGCTGAAACAGCCACCGGGCCTGTAGGCCCTGGTTTTCAGGCTGTCAGGCTGAAACAGCCACGGGCCCTGTAGGCCCTGGTTTTCAGGCTTTCAGCCTGAGGGACGCAGGGCCTGGAAAATGGCCGTCGTGTGCAGGCGCAGCATGTAACATACGTGAGAGGCACGGTGAAAGGGGAGTCAAAAGAAGAATGAGAAAAATGAATGGTTTCAGTGTGCCCTCCATGTTTGTCTTGTTTTTTTAATTTTTAATTTTTGCTGTTGGTTTTGCAAAGTGTGCTCTTTTAGTTCATAGTTATGTGACAATATATATAGGGTTCTGCCTCCTGATGAGTCGGTGAAACTCCAACGAAACAGTTTGTCACAGACTCTCATTTGTTGTCCTGTTCTCCCTCTCTGCCTACGGTTTACCGGCCAGCTCTATATATAGCCTAGCCTCCTGATGAGTCGGTGAAACTCCGACGAAACAGTTTGTCACAGCCCCTCATTTGTTGTCCTCTTCTCCCTCTCTGCCTACGGTTTACCGGGCAGTTCTATTTGACGATATATATCGTCACATATTTGACGATATATATATATCTGTTTGTGACGATATATATATACTGTTGAGGGTTCA